TAAGGTTCACTGGAGAATCTTAAGTAAAATTGTATCATATGACAATACACAAACTGGTAGATTGCCCATGCATCTTTGGCAATTTTTGATGTTTGGGTTTTTAACCATGCAACCTTAATGGGCTTTTAACACAGTTTTTTGTGTGAAATACTACAGTGTTTTACAAGATGATTTATAATCTCCTACCATTACATATTTATTTTCTTTTTTCCCAGTATCAAAAACTGTATCATCTTTAGGTGTGAATTGTACTACTGTTCAGGAGACTCAGAAAATGGCAATTTTATTTATAAGTAGGTTCTCATAGTAGTGCTCATCACCATATTATTTATTCCTTACTAGCTGGAGTTATCTGGCATTGTTCGGGAAAGTTGATATAACTGAGGTGAGGAATGAGGGGAGGGAGTGAGAAGGGAGCCGTGTGCCTGCTGCCGGCGCCCGAGCCCGCCCTCCGCTTCCTTGTTCCTTCTCTGGTCTAGTGAATGACTGTCCCCGCCGCTTCCCCCGGGAAGCCGCTTCTTCCCGCACTGACAAGCTCCATGCAGCCCTGGGGAAAGGCATCAGTCTCTCATCTCTTCCCTCCTGCAGTCCCTTAAAACCTTCTCCTGGAGGAAAGGTTATCCCATGCAAAGTTTGGTTGCGGTAGTTCTTATAGTGTCCAAGTTATTAGAACACAAACAGACAAACATTCTCCTTTATATATTAGATTAAACTGTGGAATGTGAAATTTGTGCTCTCCTGTGAGTGTGGTTTTTTGAGGTGGAAGAGCAGGAAGCAGAGTCTGAAAACACCTTGCACTACACTGCCAGCACTGCACTGTGCTATGCTAGCTAGCAGGTTGCTTTATGTCAACACTAATTTGAATCATGGGAGGCATATATAACATGGGGCAGGCAAAATGATTTCATCTGTAATAATCCTCAAGGAAAAAGGGAAAGGGGAGACAATCTTATACATTTATTGGGCGAACAATTAAGTTAAAATCCTTACACAAATTTCTTGGCTATAAAAATCTCATATTCAGGTGTAGATGTGTGTAGATCTTTAAAAATAGCTATTGGACTGAAAACTGATAGTGCAATATTATTTTCTGACTTGTATCTAAAGATCAAATATAAGTTATAGGTTTAAATATGGGAATGCTTTAAGTCAAGACATATTTTCAGTAAGCAGAAAACTTTCTTTGTCATAACTTGATTATATACTTGTGTCACTGTGAGTTTCTAACTTTTTAATTTATCAACATCCTGCAGCATGGGTATGTATTTGACAGAATTTTGGTCTCAGTTGTATTAGTGCCAGAGAACAAAGGAAAAGTCAGGTTTCATTAAAAGCATTTTTTGTTTAGAAAAGAACCAGCCGGATGGTGTCTGATTCATGGTTGTGAAAGATAAAAAGTATAATCTTTGACAGCTGAGTGTAATACAGCTCATAATAGAATGAGCAGGTGACTTTTCAAAAGGAAAAAGATTTTTTGTGTTTGTTTTGTCAAGAGGATAATGTGTACTTACTAAACTAATACTCTGTGTGAAAGACGATATGCAGTTTGCATTTACTGCTTGAAAAAGGTGTTTGTACAATTTTTCTTAATAACTTTTAGCCCAGTGATTCAGATACTCTCCTAGGATGTTAGTGACACCCAGTTCAAGTCCTCTTTCTATGTGATGTGAAAAGGGATTTAAACAATAATCTGCCATCTCTATGTAACCATTGGTACATGGCATGTTCTAATGTGGCAGATGCTTCAGTCTCTCCTATGGAGGCTGTGGCAGTGCAGATAATATAAATAATTAAAAACTCATTCAAGCAGGGGGACTGGCATGTGGGTCTTTCACATTCTGATTGAATACTCAAATAAGCAGGTTATAGTGTCATGGCCAACCAAACAGGAAAGAGATGCATATTGGTAGTAGCAGCCTATACCATTAGTTACTCTGAGGCCGTTGCCTATTCTAATACAGAGACTAAAACACTGGCTAGGGCTCTGTTCACTGTATTCAGCTAAGTAGATTTTCCAGAGATCTTCTCAGAGTGAGTGTCAAATTTCATGTCCCAGTTATGGTGAATTATGGTAGATGTGTGGGGTAAAACATCTGCCCCATATCACTCAGAGACAAACCATTTAGTTGAAGTGCTCAATGGAACTCTAATATTTATGCTGAGAATGTATGTAACCAAGAGGTTAAGTGACAGGCATGTAATATTACCCTATCCGTTATTTGCTTTTTTCTACTTGCAATGATAAAAATAATACTGCAGCCTAGAAACTTGCAGATGCAACTTGGAGTGCATCAGTGTCATGAACATCTAGTATATTTAGTAGCTGCATATTGTGCACTGGTATGGAGCAGATGCAGCCACATGTGACTTACGGATACCCAGTAGAATAGAGCGATGCACTACCTCAGTGGTGTGCAACCAGTGGGTTGCGACCCCAAAGGGGGTCGTGGATGTCTTCCCAGGGGGGCGCGGCGCTTAGCTCCAGCTGGCTGGTTGCTGGGCCCGGCAGTTGGTGGCCCCCATGGTGCGGTGCTTAGATCTGGCCAGCTGGGGCCTGGGCCCAGCAGTTGGAGGCCTCCGCAGCACGGGGGTCGCATATCAAAAAAGGTTGCACACCACTGCACTAAGTTTCTTTGCAGTCTACACATAGCCTAACTCTGGGTACATCTAAACTACATGGCTCCGTCTACAGAGCCATGTAGTTTAGACATACGCAGAGTTAGGCTCTGTCTGGACTGCAAAGAAACGTCAAAAAAAGATACACAAATTGTGAATGCAATTTGCGTATCTTTTTCTGGTTTTTTTTGGAAGAGGCTTTTCCTAAATTTGGCCCATCTACTCCTCTTTTGGAACATCCCTTCTTCCTCATACAATGAGGAATACAGGGATGCTGAAAGAACATGTCCGCTTTTTCAGAAACTGTTCCGAAAAAGCAGATGCATTCCTTAGATACAGCATAACTTTTCTGGGATACCTCAGGTATCCCGGAAAAGTTCTGCAGTGTAGATATAGCCTCAGCCTACAACAAAATCAAACTTATTAAAAGCAAAAAGGGGACCCAACATTAATTTGGGAAAACATTGAAACCATAATTCAAAAGCACATGACCATAAGTAAGCACTGTGTCCTTTGCCTCTATTTTTCATCTAGCAGCATGAAAGTACAAAAACAAATGTCCCTTAACACACTTTCCCTTTTCCCTAAATGGCACCCTACTCACCATCGGGAGTCTTTGGTTAGCAAAAGTTCAGAAGTGTGTTCATGGGCAGGACGGATAGTCTTGGGCAACACCTCTGCTGCTGCTGGCCCTCTGCCACCACAGGCTGTTATCCCGCTGCCTCTTTCTGCTCTGTCATCACATTCTGAAGTTCTGTCATTTATGCAGCTCTCAGAAATAGCAGCAGATAGTGAGGAATCGCACTGCTAGGGCAGTTTTACTGGGTTACCTTTGTCTGTTACTACACAAAATCTAAGGCTGTGTCTACACAGCTACTTTAGCAGTAAAACTTTAATCATCCAGGCGTGTGAAAGCACTTTCCTGAGCAGCAAAAGTTTTAGTGCTAAAGAGTCGCAGTATAGACAACTCTTTATCACAGTGTTTCTTAAGCTTTTGAAGACCGAGGAACACCAAGCATTTTTTGTTAAGCAAAAAAAAAAAAAAAAAGTTGCCTGCCCCTTTAAGGGTGGCCATTTTGAATTCTGTTGTTCTCCCCGGCACACCTCCAACTGCTTCGCGGCATACCGGTGTGCCACGGAACAGTTTAAGAAATGCTGCTTTATCACCAGGAGCCATGCTCCTAGCCGTCTAACTACCACTCCTCATTAGGGATGTTTTTTAGTTGCTGGGAGAGCTCTTCCCTGGCAATAAAACATGACTACATTGCCAATGTCATAGTGCTGAGTGGCAGCGCTGCTGCACCCATGATAAAATGAGGACATATTCTTAGGCTTAGCCCTTAGACTTGCTCAGCAACCAGAGTAGCTCTTGGAATCACCAGCTAGAAACAGAACTCTTAATTGAGTCTAATCAGCTCTGTCATGCAGCTGAGGAAGGTAGGCTAAATGGTGTCTAGAACTAGGCAGCAGTCACAACACCACTGGGAAAAACTGTCCCCACCCAGCCTCATCTTCATGGGGATTTGGCATTCCTACCTCTTGCCTAGCAAGTGAGGTTCAGTTTGGGTGACTCCTTTAGTCAGGGCATGTTAAGTAAGTACAGTTCTTCTGCCTTTTACTTGTACTTGGCTTATAGAGGATTCCATTTCATTGCTCCTGCATTCAAATATTGAGTGATTTGTAATCTTGTTCCTGCTGCCTGACTGACTTCCTGGTATTGTCACTTTGCCTCTCTTCTTGACCCTGACTCCTGATCTGTTCTGTCCCAGACTCTGACAACCCAAGTCTTCCTGACATTTGGCTTGGTCTGCCTTCTGGCTCATCTTGGAACTCTGATCTCCTGTGAACTTGATTCTTGCTCTGCCATTTGACCTATCTGAAATTCTGGTCCACGCGTATCCAGATCTGGCTTGCTTCCTGCCTCCCAACTGCTGCTCTCACTGCTAGATCAGGCCACCTCTGTGTTCCGGTCAATGACAATAAGCTCTCTAGAACTAACAAAGGGTATTTATTGGTAAATCCCATTGGACAGCAACGCACAGACAAAAGCCACTTTCATTACTTATTTAGGACTTTTTTAGTTCAAAGTGTTACTTTTCTGGTTAATTCAGGGATGGGAAACCTATTGTCTGCAGGGTGCATTTAGCATGAGGCTTAGGCTTCCTCCCCTTCTCTGCAATGGGGTGAGTTGGCAGGGGTGCTTCAGCCCCATGGCATGCCTCTGGGCCTCAGTGCCACCCCACTTGGCTGGAGCATCAGTGTTGGCTCCCTGCTGCAGGTAGGTGGGTGCCTGGAGCCTTGCTGGCCAGATCAAAGCAAGCTGCCGGCTTCATCTGGCCCGTGGGCTCTGCCTGGCAAGGGGAGGGAGTGGCTTTGTATGCTGCCACTCCCCCTCCACTCCCAGCTGGGGAAGGGGTAGCACAGGGAAGCTCTGTTCCTGAGCTCACATGTAGGCTCCATCCCCATCACTCCCATTGGCCAGGAATCGTGGCCAATAGGAGCAGTGGGGAAGAGGGCATTGCCTGCGAGTGTAGGGTGGCATGGAGCCACCTGTGACCCCCCTGAGGTAGGCACCCCAAATTTCTGCCCCTTCCCAGATTCCCCCTCCCCATCCAGACTCCACACTCCCAGCCTACTCCTGCATCCTCCCTCCCCTCAAGGCTCTCCACTCCTGCACCTTACCCCTCCAATGTTAACTGACCAATAGCCAAGACTAAAAAGCAAAACCAATCTTTCATAAGCTTGGCTAACTATTATTGCTGATTTGTAAATGGTTTCAGTGACATTGTGTCTGCTTATACCAGAGGTGTGCAAAAAGACAACTCAGCAAACAATGTAGATGACAACTTGTCAGAAAGATTTCAACGAGGTAAAGAAAACTCTGTCAGGAAATCCTGTCCTGGTCAGTCCAGATTTCGATAAAATGTTTGACCTGTCTGTGTGTCTATTATTTTATGTGTACATTTGAGTATTGTTGAGAATATTTGAGGGATAAACATAGGTGTCATGCATTTTATGCAGAGAAGGTTAATTAAAGGTGAAAATTAACCTTTTCAACTTGGATTAACTAGGGTTACCAGGTGTCCAATTTTGAACCAGATAGTTCAGTATTTGAGCTTTCTGTCCGGGAAACAAATTGAGAAAATATCAGACATATAAATGTCCAGTATTTTCTAATTAAATACGTTTTATTATTATCATGAGTATCAATACATAGTTGCATACTTCCTGGCTGGAAGACACGCTCACGCAGCATGAATGTGTATGCCAGCCAGGCAGTACGCAACTATGCAGTAGGGGGGGAGGGGAGGTGGGATAGAAACCCTAGGGCTAGACTCTCACCCGTGAGCTCTGCTGGGACCATGCATGGGATGGGCAATGCCCTGGGATGTGCATGCGCCAGGGCCAGCCATGCTCCCTGCTGGCTGGTTCCCCCTCACGCCCCGCTCTACTTCCCCAGCCAGCCCTGCTCCCTGCCGGCCGTTTCCCCCCGATCTCCTCTGGCCAACCCCGCTCCCCCCAACCTCTTCCTGACAAGCCCTGCTCCTCCCCAGCCGGTTCCCCCCAATCTCTCCCACCAGCCCCACTCCCTCTGACGTCCTCCCAGCCAGCCCTGTTCCCCACTGGCTGGGTTGGTTTCTCCCCCCCCCCCCGGATCTCCCCTGGCCAGTCCCACTCCCCACCAACATCCTTCCGACCAGCCCTGCTCCTCACCAGCTGGTTCCCCCCATCTACCCCACCAGCCCTGCTTCCCCCAACCTCCTCCGGTATTTTTGTCGAAACCATCTGGCAACCCTAGGATTAACATATTTTGAGAAAAGTTTGGCAAATTGTTGGAATTACTAGGACCACATTAATCTTCACACTCAAGAAAAGCAGACACCAGTAGGCTGTCTACTGTAACACCAGATGCACAGATACCATATGTTACATGTAAAGTTTATTACCAGAAGTACAATGGAAGTAATATTGATAATTTAAGTTTCAATAACATTAAAGTACACGGCACAGATATCATGCTAAATCTTTTGTACTTACTTGTATGATCACCATAATTAAGCTTTTTCATAAACTTAGAACTACATCATAATTGCATATTACTGAACATTATTTTTTAATTATTTTTGGAAATCCATAGTAATTGCTATAATTATAGGTACCATAGTTAAGATATATAGAAATAATTATGGATTTATAATAGAACGGCATTCACTTTGTCTACATACAATATTCTCTCACTGAATGGCCCTCATTTTGTAATCAACCCACCATGTAAGTAAAGAGCTTTTAAAGATATTTGTGTCTTGTAATTTAATGATGCAAAGCAATTTTGATTAATGGTCAAAAATGAGGATAAAGCACGTTGTTTCCCAGTCGAAAACTCCCAGATTATCTTTCAGCTTGATTCAAGTACCATTGAAGTAAATAGAAAGTCTACCATTGGACTTATGTGGAGGTTTCTACAATATAGAGTTTTGGTGCCAAAAAGGCAGCTTTTGGTAATGAAACTGTGGAGGTGCATACATTGAAATTCCATTTTTGCTGACAAAACTTTTCAGTTTTGGCAGCAAAATGAAACCACCTTGATGAGAGGCATAAAGCTTTTTGTGGCAAACTTAATGCAACAGTACATCAATGTAGAAGATGAAGATTGCTATATTGCCATATTGACTCCAGTATCCCATAATGCCTGCCTGGACCACTATTCACCATTTGGAACTCAGCAGCCCTTCAGACATGCATCCCTCCCCTTTTACAGCTCTGGGGATGTCCTGACAGCATTAGGAAAATAGAGGCAGGCAGGCAGGCAGAGCTGGATGTGCATGTGCTTGAGAGATTTCTGTGCCGTGCAGAGCCAGGGCGGGAGGCAGAGGCTGATGTCAGGCATGTCCCCCCTCCCCTGCTCCAGGCCTTATTGCTTTCTGAACTTAGAGACAGCTGGCTAACACACTCGCTCTCCCTTAACACGTACAATCCTGCAACACGCTCTGTCTCTCGCTCTCCCTCACCTACATACCCTTTTTGTCACATGTTCTCCCTACTCCAACCAACACTTTAGTTGAAAAGCAGCTAGCAAAATCTAGTAGGATGCCCATGGATCGATGGAATCGAGAAACCTGCAACAATGTATGTACCTACCTCACGAGGCATTGCAAATCCTTTCCAAAACGCCCTATGCTCATTTGCACAATGGGATGGCTATCTAGTATGGATTTACTCTGCTGACACGAGGAGCATACTGTGAACGTGCAACAGAGGTTTAATTACAGCAGTATAACATTTGGTGATAAAACTCTGCAGTGTAGACATAGCCACAAACAGTCCAATCCAACTCCTGTTGAAGTTTAATCAAGTACTTTTTTCCACCAACATACAAATCTTTGAGGCATCTCCTTGCTGACGCTGCTCATATTTTCTCTTCAATCTCTTTGATTTCGGAGGAGACAACTTTGCCATCAACCACCTCCTCAACAACTGTCTTGATCTTCCTAATTTTATTTATTTCTGGAAGTAAATTGACAAAGAGTTTTAATTAAGAACATTTATATTAAAAGTGGAATGCATTTTTATGTTTACTTTAGTAAACAGTGCTATACTTTTTGTTTTTGAGCTTGCTGAGCAAACACATTTGGAAGGAGTCGCTTAATGCCCCATTAGCATAATCAAGTGGCACACAGAAAATTGGAATCAATATGAAAAAGAAAAGTTAAATTACTAAGTATGTATGATTTTGCTTTCCAAATTAAAAGGGGCTTTATGAATGAATGTTCAATTTATTGTAAAATAGATACTGAGCTTCTTCTGCAGTGTAAATGGCATGCTAATTTCAGTCTGAAATAAAAATTCTAAGTAATCAAGTGTCATATTAGTAGAGAACCTTCTGGTCATAGCTGGGAGAAATGGAAAGATTCATGTCCAGGTGTTGGACAAAATTCCTCATTACGGAAAAGAATAAACAAAGTACAGGTCACAGCTCCGAAAACCAGCCCTTTCTGGTCTGGCAAAATCTATGATCCATCAGGACCACAGATGATCCTATAACAGAGAAGCTTGGAGCCTAATGACTGGAGGGCCAACTGGGGCTAGGGGCAGCAGGGCTGGCAGACCAGCTGGGGGCAGAGTCAGAGCTCCACAACAGCCCTCAGCAAGTGAGGCTGGGGCCAGAACCCTATGGCACCCCCGTGGCAAGCAGAGCCAGGGCTGGAGCCCCACGGCAGCCCTTGCCAGTGCTGGGGCTAGGGCTGGAGCAGCATCTGTGTGAGCAGCCTGGCCAGGCTAGCAGGGGAAGGAGGAGGAGAATGTCAGAGGCAGAGTGCCTGCTGGAGCAGTAGCAAGCCAGCAGCAGATGGAGGGTTGATGCAGGGGACCTTCCCTGGTGCAGCAAATTCTCTCATTTGGGACTGGTCAGGTCCTGAGGTTGCCACACCAGGCAGGTCCAATTCAGGTATGGGCTGAGCCAGATCAAGGGTGAAGGTGTGGAAAATATCTATGTGAAAAGGAAGTATCAAGAATAATGCAAGTGATCGCTTGAAGAATATACTGTTTAACACAAGGAGGCGCCAGTACTAGCAGACATTTTTTTATAGGAAATAAACTTTCTTTCTTGGTGTACAGAATACGGTTTCCCTACCTACTGCATGTCCTGAACGTCACCCTGAACTTTTACAGAGCCTTGTTCTGAATGAGTCCTTTATTCCTCCTGAGCATATTTTGATGCTTGAGTTTTCTGCAAACTGTATCGTTCTAAGATGCTTGTAATAGAAACATTTAATTGAAAATTTTATACTCGGACAAATATATTGGCAATTTTGCCATAAGAATTCACTGATTTAATATGTATTTATATCTGAAAAATGTATAGTGCCTCAGTATTGTATATCAGTTTAATTAATTTTAATTCAGCCAAATTAGTAGCAACCAAATATAAAAATATGGAAACAAAAATTTAAGTTACATACCTCTCTGGGTCTCTTCTATCTCAGATATCTCTGTTTGGGAATGTCTGTTAAATATATGAATAAAACATACTTTATAATTAAGTATCAAGGAATATAGAGATCACTAATATTGGTACATTTAATTTGTTCACATAAACCCCAGTTCAGCAGTGTACTTAACATTTTCTAAACACTATTTTTCTTGTTAAATTCCTTGGATTAATCTCACTCGGTTCTAAAAGAAGTTATTTCCAAGGGCAGAATGGAACAAAGCCTAAGCAAGTGAGCTTTGTGTCAGGTAACTATGCGTACATCTACACAGCAGCGTTATTTCGGAATAACTGATGTTATTTCTAAATAACAAAGTTGCACATCTACATAGCAAGCTGTTATTATGAAATAATTTCGAGATGGCAGACTTCTTACTCCAACTCCTGTTAACCCTCATTTCATGAGGAGTAAAGGAAGTAGAAGGAAGAGTGGTTAAGATTTTAGAGCATTATTTCCTTCTCAGTTTGCTTGTTTGTCTAGTGTTGGCCAGACTAAACACCACCAGGAGAGTATCCAGCATTGTCAGGAACATTGTCAGGAAGATTTTAATATGCAGAAGGATCCTTTATTTCTTCCTTTTATTAAATGCAAGTGTAATTCAACATCTGTCCTCTTTTTACCCATAGCCAGCCTTTATAAAGAGTAATTACAATGATTTCTGACTTGATATAAAACAGAACTAAATAACGACCTTCACTGATACTCAATTCCTTACCCGCTATCATCTCCCTCCAGTAAGCGTCGGTATGTGGCAATCTCCGTTTCCAGCCGGGTCTTTATGTCCAGGAGAATATTGTACTCACTACTCTGGCTTTCCATATCAGCTCGAAGCTGCATCAGCTGTGCCTCAGCATTGACAATGGCAGCCTGTATTTGGGCAAGTCGTGAACCATAAAGTTCTTCAGTTTGAGCCAGGGTGTCTTCTAAAGCCTTTTTCTGCAGAAGGTGAAATAATAGAGGACTTTATGGATTTGTATTATTCAAGTCTCTGTGCTTATCTAAAGAATTGCCTGGTAAAGATGTTCTCAATGTTACATTTTATATATGCTTTACCATACTAAGCTGGGACTGAAGTTCTATCTCCAGGCCTTGGAAGTTGCGTCTCAGATCTGTGATCTCCGTTTTTTGGTTTTGCAGTTGTTCAATGTTAATAGCAACTTCCTGGTTCACTTCTTCTGTCTGAAATATACAGAATGAAAAAGAAGGTGTATAGGAAATGAAGCTCAATTTTCAATCTTCCCTGAATTCCTTGTGAGGTGCTGCTGCTATGTGATCTGTGAGACTTTACCAGTTTATCAAAGCGGTCTTTGGCCTCTTGACGATTCTTTTCTGCCATGCTTTCATATTGCTCTCTCATGTTGTCCATAATCTTGGCAAGATCAATTCTTGGAGCAGCATCCACTTCTACATTAACTGTGCCACCTAGCAGTTTACGCAGTTGACCGACTTCCTACAAACAATTAATTATATAATTATAGATCTGTATTTATGAACAGCAGTGAAGCTTTTAAATAGGAAGAGAAACACAGTCATGATAGAAAGACAGAAACACATTCAAAATGCATAGCAATAGCAGAGCTATCTTCCGAGAATCTCAGTCACTTTTCAAATATAATTAAAGCCTCACAACACTCCTCTGGTGCACTGTTTTCCCCCATTTTATGGAAAGGAAAACTGAGATACACAGAGGTGAAATAATAAGGTGATAATAAGGTGATAAATAACAGTCAGGACTGATTTGTAAAGAACAAAATTATGTCAAACCAACCTGATAGCTTTCTTTGATAGGATAACAAGCCTTAGGGGTAAAACTTTAGTAAAACATTTGATATAGTCTCACATGGCCCTCTTAGGGTACGTCTAGACTACATGGCTCCATCAACGGAGCCATGTAGATTTGTTGTTTTGGCAAAGGCAAATGAAGCCGCAATTTAAATGATCGCGGCTTCATTTACATTTACATGGCTGCCACACTGAGCCGACAAACAGCTGATCAGCTGTTTGTCGGCTCGCACGCTAGTCTGGACGTTCCCCCCGTCGACATCAAAGCCCTTTGTCGGCAGCCCCGGTAAACCTCATTCCACGAGGAATAACAGGGCTGCCGACAAAGGGCTTTGATGTCGACAGGGGGAACGTCCAGACTAGCGGCGGAGAAAAAAAAACAA